CCGATCTAGACCCCCAAAAAACCTCCACGACCCCAACAACAATGTCGTCCTCCCGACTCGATTCCACCTACACCACCACCAGCCTCGTCATCGGCTACGCACTCTGTTCAAGCCTCCTCGCCGTAATCAACAAATTCGCAATCACATGGTTCAACTACCCCGGACTTCTCACCGCTCTTCAATACCTAACTTCCTCTCTCGGTGTTTACTTCCTCGGAAAATTAGGGTTTCTCCATCACGATCCCTTCACATGGGAAACCGCTAAGAAATTCCTTCCTGCAGCCGTCGTCTTCTACCTCGCGATCTTCACCAACACGAATCTCCTCCGTCACGCCAATGTCGATACCTTCATCGTTTTCCGATCTCTAACTCCGCTTCTCGTCGCGATCGCCGATACGGTTTTCCGCGGCGAGCCTCGTCCTTCGAGGCTTACTTTCTTATCTCTCTTAATCATCCTCGCTGGTGCTGTTGGGTACGTAGCTACTGATTCGGCTTTTACCCTTACTGCGTATTCATGGGCATTAGCGTATCTTGTTACAATCACTACTGAAATGGTTTACATTAAGCATATGGTTTCGAATCTAGGATTGAACACTTGGGGATATGTTCTCTACAATAACCTCTTGTCTCTTATGATTGCGCCGATATTCTGGTTTCTTACCGGCGAACATTCGGAGGTTTTCACTGCCGTGAATGACAATTGGGGGAATTTGTTTGAGCCTGTGGCGTTTTTCGCCGTGGCATTGTCTTGTTTGTTCGGTTTCCTTATCAGTTTCTTCGGATTTGCGGCTAGGCAAGCTATATCCGCTACGGCTTTTACGGTGACTGGTGTTGTTAACAAGTTCTTGACTGTTGTGATCAATGTTCTGATTTGGGATAAGCATGCCACTCCTGTTGGTTTGGTTTGTCTCCTTGTTACAATCTGTGGTGGGGTTGGTTACCAGCAGTCAGTGACCGTGGCTAAGAAACCGACCAATGGTCCATTACAACCTTCGAACATCGACAAGGTTGATGAAGAGTCGATGGAGTTGATTCCGGGAAAACTAGCTACTTCTGTATGATGATGTAAGAGAGGTTACATTGTTTTGCACCCTTTTTCAGGTGTTTACCATTTGATTTGGAATTCAATATCTTAGCATTTAAAGAGGTTTCTAGCAAAAGTGTTTCACATTTCTCTGGTTTCTGGCCTCTTATAGTATCAATTTTGTAAACCTATTGTTGCCTCTCATCCTCCTATCCATTAATACAAAATCAATTTATGTTCTTATTTGCGGTACAAGATGTCGTGTTTTCGATGCTCAGAAAAGTCGGTATCGTGTTGTCTTGTTCTAATGCAAATGTGAAAGAACAGTGACAGGTCCCATCTGCTAATCGAGTTAATTGGCAAAGGAATGGATTGTTGATTGTTCTGTCTGCCGAGGACGAGTAAGTAGTTAAAGTGTCGTACCTTTAACTGTTTTACATTTTTGTCAGTTAGTAGAAGAATCTCAGGTTTATCTAAACTGTCTAAATCCAATCAGTTGAAATGTAACTGTTGAGGCAGGTGAACCATGTTCTTCGTCTTGATAATTATTTGATTTTCAGAACATTTGAATGTGTCACGCCATTCTAAAATTGTAACCCTGATGTCGATTTTGATGGCTATGAAAGCACCCGCAGAAGTAGAACCAAGAAATGCTCTGTGACCTAAGTAGTTTATCACTATACTTGGGACTACCAGGTGTATGTTTAATCCGATACAAATACATGAATTCGGTGCAACCGATTCAACCCAAAAATTCAAATACCGGAAAAAAAAAAAAATCCAACTCAATTCTGGTTAAAAAGATTGATATTGACACTCTATGGACAGGGACCTATAGGTTCGTATACGTATAGGTTTGTGCTTAAAGATCCACGTGGCCAGCTTGTAAAGACTTGTTTACTAACGAAAAGTTGAGGTCGTGGTCTGACTGGATTCTCCATCTTTGTGGAAGATGAATGATTCACAACAAAACGCCGGTTTTTACATGTGTTTGTTTGTTTCTTTCGGTTCTTGTTTTTAATAATACAAAACGATAAAAGTTTTTTAACGGTAAAAAAAAATTAATAGACTATAGCGAAGTAATTAGAAACGATAAAAACAAAATTAAGCCAGTGGTTTTTGGAAATATATGGAACGTTTTGATCGGTTGATATCATAGTTTTGGAAAAAATATTGCAATAAATTGGAATATATCATAGTTTTTTCATATTATTTTCGACTTGTAGTATCTTCTTCTGAGCCCGTGATTCAATTCAATTATTTCATAGAGTTTGCATCCGTGGTTGACTTCAATCCTCAAGCATGAGTCATGCATTGTCCCATCTCGTGATATTCATTTATTAATTCCAACAATCATACAAAAAAGCTTATGGTCGGGTGATTGATGCCGACATTTATATTAAACTTTGAAGCGTAATAATAAAAGATTATAGTATAGTTTAGTAGTTTGTCTTAGAGGTCTTTGTGTCACCATTCAAATTTAAAACCATATAATGTAATGTTGTATGAAAAAAAAAAGCTTATGGTAATACCGATATTTATATTACTTTTTCTAAGTGTAATTACAAAGAATTACGACGTCTAGTTTAGTGGTTTGTGCTAATATCGTCATCAATGATCATGCCATCATCCGAATTTAAAACCGTATAATTTGTGTTGTTGACCAAAAAAAAAAAGAGTTAGTGATTACAAAGAGAAGGTTAGGCCAGAAGAGAAGCTAATCCCGGCCATGTTTGATCCTTGCAAGAATCTACAATCAGGTAATGGGACCCACTCCCACTTATCCTTCTCCTTATCATAATCCAACCATATAATATTCCATAAACCTTCATGATTAGTCATTAGAGCCACTCTAATCACACTTAATCTCCTCTCTAAGCATCCCATCATCACACCACAAGGCTTGTTGCTTATCACTTCACTTGGAGCTCTTGACACTAACTCCCACTTCTCACCATCTGAACTTATTTCCCAAACTTCTAAACTCTTCATAACTTTCTTCATCTTTGATGTATCTATTTTGTCTAATCTAATAACCACTTTGTATTCATCTCCATGTATATGTAACAATTGACTGTCGAGATCGTTCCTGCTGAATCCGACGCTTGACGGGCATTCTCTGATCGCGTCGTGGTTCATTCTCGGCCGCAAAATCGCGGGAAACCGATTGATCATCGATTCATCGTCCACGCTCATCACAATACTCTCGTGAGGTCGATTTGATAAGCTTAAGAAAACGTTACTCTTTTTCTTGAAATCCCAATTTGTTGTATCCTCTGCTTCTTTGGTTTGCCACGTGGTTGTATTTGAACGATAGGTAAACAGAACCGGTCGGTTATTGACCATCTCAGCGAACATAAACCGGAAATGGCCAGAGCATGATGGATCGGGTACAAGTTTCATACCGGACCGTCTCCAAGATGAAGTTCCACGTGGACCTAACGGACACGATCCGATTCTTGTGACTTTCTTGCCCACCAAATCAACGGCTATGATTCCACTATGAGTATTAGAGGCAAAAAGAAGAAAATTACCACTAGCTGTTAGTAGATACAAATCTTCCCCGGGAAAAACCTCTCCGGTCATAATTTCAGCCACCGGAATCTTGAACCACCGTACAGATCGGTCCGAGAACCCGTGGAGCACACCGTTATCCCGACGCCATCGCCTCGTGTAGACGAAGATCCACGTGTCTCTATGTGATCCACCGTTGAGTTGTTGGATGAAACTTTGGTCAGAGATTGTGGTTAGAACAAACTTATTGAGTAGTTTCATTCGGATGATCTCAGGTATACAAAGATGAAGTAAAATGTTTTGTATGAGCTCAGAAGGAAGAAGGCAAAAGCCAATGCTGTTTGTGTTTGTGTCTTTGTTGCTACATCTTTGGTTTTTCTCCATTATTTTTTTTGGGGTGTATTGATTTGAAAGGATTAACTTCAACGTTTTAGGTATATATATAGAAGAAGGATTGTATTTTCTCTGTTACGTTTGATAATGGCCAATGTTTTAGGTATCTAGGTTAGGTTTTATTTAAGATTTAAATTTGTGGTGGGAATATAATTTTTTTTTTTTTAATTTCACTTGTTAGGTCAAAACAAAGCTGATTAGATGATGGAATGAAGTTATAGTATACTACCTTTTATAGCAAATTTTTAAACTTTCTAACGAGTAAACACTTTTCGAGAGTGCTATCTACAAAACTAACACTAACACTTTTCGGGAGTTATTATTTTAGATGTTAATATCCTTAACTTGGAGAGTCTATCTTTGACTACTTCATGCATTTACATAATGTACATTGTTGTAACATCAAGAGCACAATCAGAGCGAAATTTTATATAACTTTTGATTAATATTTGAATAATCTCCGGTGAGTCGCTTTAGACCCGTCCTACACGTCTAATAGGGATTACGGATATTATGAATATTGAATATTACTATAGTGAGATTTATATGAGAAGAAAAAGCAAAGATCGAGTATCTTAAATGGGGTTGGTTTTAAGACCGTCGTTTATAATGATTTGAGTGTTGGTTGGGCTAACTTGGCTTTACAAGCAACGATAGGTCAAACTTCAAAGGATGGCCACATCTTAATCATAGTAAAATATTCTGCTTACGAGTAAATGGACGGTGGAGATGATGCTCGAGTCAACCTCACCACTTTTTAATTCTTGTTCTCTAAAACATTTTAACTATTTGTTGATGCGTTTGCTCGTTGAAATCGTTTGGGATGATTAGACCACTGGAAAGTAAATAAATTTGCACCACAAGTGTAATGTTACATATTATTTAGGAAAAGAAAATGTAAATTGATGACTAAATGTAAGAAAGATGGATTCTACGTTTGTTTTTGAGTTCAAGCACTTGGATTACATATTATTTAGGGGAAAACTGCAAATTGATGACCATTGAAAACTCTAAAGAGAGTTTCGTATAGTTAATCAAAGTACAGTAGCACACTTAGTTATTCTCTTAGTCATTTCCAAGCCAAAAGCCAGTTGATTTGATTAAGCCAGAACCAAATTCACATAGCTCGACTTGAAATATACTAGGAAAAGTCGTAAAGATACACTTAAGACGGAACCAATCATACATGCGAATGACTGCTGTCATTGCGCTACAACTTGTACTACGCATACCCGTTTCCCAGCCCTTGATCAGCAACTGCCAAGCCTTCTCTAGCTGATGAATTGACAAGTGACTGCAGAAAAAGTCGACTTGCTTCGATTAGGCCTAATCTTTATGTAATGATACAATAATGTGGAAATTTAGAAACTAACCTGGAGTTCCTGTTCGCAGTCTTTCAGGTTGTCCGTGCACTCTCTAACCCTTGTAAACGATTTGTGTAGCTACCCAAAAACATTGACCAAATGTCGAACTCAGTCCAGAAAAATTACCTAACAATACTAGCTTTGAAAACATGAACAAACCTATGTTTACCTTTGCCAACTCTTTTCGGCGTTGTGAAGTCAGTTTCTTTTCATTGATCAATGATTCTTCTAATCTCTGTGTTAACCATTTCAAATGAGAACAAATCCAGACTGAAACATTTTGGGTTTCAAATAAGATATATAATAGGCACTTACCTTAGACTTTTTCTGTAGCTCCGAGCATAGTATTTCTTTTTCTTCCAATCTGTCTTCCATCATCAGCACCTTAAAATCGAAACAAGACCATAATATCTACCCGTTGTCACGAATATATAAAGAAATGATTGCTTTGTAGATTTATGTGTCAATAATAGCAAAGATTCTTGAAATGAATATAAATATTCAAGCTGCCTATATGAGCACAGATAAACGACCTCATACCTCATTGTGAAGCCCCTCACGCATCTTAATCAGCGCTTCCAGTTCTTCTTTCACCTGTATAAAAGACACAAATTTTCATATGAACTCTGCAACTCTCAACGACTAGCAAATATCATCTTTACCTGGTAATTGTGATCTCCACTTGAATTAGAGAAGTGATCTCTGCCACGCCCACCCTCAAGGGTGGTACTGTCAATTAAGCAAAAGCACACAAAGCATCAGACATCTCAACAAACCAAAGCAATCAATGCGTTCTTACAAAAAGTCCAAGCAGTGCATAATAGACTCTGCAAGAACATGATCTAAATGCTAAGGTGCACTTATCGCCTAAAAATGAATCAGGTTTGCTGATTAATTTACTTTCACATCAACTAATTGACAATGTACCTGCCGGACTAACTTAATTCTTTAGAACATACAGTGACTGCATAGCATTTCAGAATTACTCTATAGTGGATCATCACCATAACAACTGGAATTCCCGAAAGTGTTTGCTTCAAGAATGGTGTCTATAGAAAGATTTGTCACAGAAGCTACAGTGCAAGCCAAAACATACCTCAAACCATAAAACTGAACAAAGCCAATAAGACCAAAACCTCTTCTCAAATCCATTAAACTAAACCTTCTGCATTTGTGTTTATCAGCGATAATTTGCAGACTTAACCGCACAATGAGTGGATAATTTGGTTTAGCAGAACTAAGATACCCTAGACAAGTATTCCAGTCCTGACTTGTTGAAACCAGCAGACCAGTTTTATAGTCGCAGTTCAGAGAAACAGAAGGAACACTGGAAGTTTGAAATCTTATATCTAAACGTTAAACGGCCAATACGAAGTCAACAAGTACATAAGTATTAACAAAAAATTTACCTATCTTCTCTCTTTGTTTCTTGGCTCCGTCCTTCGTGAGCACTGGACCCGTTGATTCCCCCACCATTATTATCCTCATGAGACCTATCCCCACGCCAATCTCTTTCGTCGTCTTGGAAAACTCTTTCTTTGTAACCATTTCTATCCAGTATATCATGATCCTTCCTCCTCTCAAAATCGTGTGAATGCTCATATGCTCTTTCCTTCTCTATGTAATGATCTTTTCTTCTGTCCTGAGACCTATCCCGTTCTCGGGACCTATCACTGTACTGATCCCTGTCATAATTGCAATCGCTTCTCCTATCCGGGCTTTTATCCCAGCTACCGCGTGGTTGAAACTGCCCCCGACCTGGATTCATTCTTCCACCTCTTGTTGTTACCTCATTTACGCGCACTGCACGCCCACCAATATTCTGATTACGAGCTCAGTACCGTCAAAAATATAAATAGTTCCATAC